GTGATCATGCGTGGCAAAGAAGTTTAAGTGGTTACAGAGAATCGCTATTAATTATAGGGTACAACAGTGGCTGGCATGTCATTGTATCAGTCACTCTTCATTGTCTTTTGAAAATCCAAATGAATCTGGAATGGGAATCAATTAGTGGAATGAACTTAACCCCTCAGAGCAATTGAGGCAGTCTGATTCCTGAAGTAAAATAGGATGGTTGATAAAATACTGTTAACTCTTGGGAATTAAAGCAAAAATTTGCCAATGGCTTAATAATAACTAAGTGACAGAGAGGTGGTCATTATGATAATGAATCAATACCAAATGGCAGGAAAAGTTCTCAGAAACAAGAAAGATAACCACTTGATGTATACCATTTGACAGGACAGGTGGGCTAGGCACACATTTGGTCAATACCAGGTGATGGAACAGGTAGTCAAGACTACCAAAGGGTCAATACCAAGTGACATAACAGGTGGTCTAGACAGTCAATAGGTCAATGTCCCATCGCCTATGACAAGTTCTGTCAACTTGGTCATATTACCAAGTGAAATGATAAGTGGTCAGGAAAGCCAAATGGAACAAGAGTGGGCAAAGCATCCAATGGGTCAATAGCAAGTGATGGGACAGGTAATCAAGATAGCCAACAGCTCAATTTTATATCAAAAGACAGCCAACACAATATCAGTCATCGCTGTGTAAAATCTGTTATTTTTCATTTGACAATGGATGCAACCTTTAATTTCGAAATATTATGATATGTGTAGCAATTTACAGTTTAAACCATCACAAATATATTAATAAGGAAAAATATGTAAATCTCTCAGATTATGGACAAAAATTTATAACAATTCTAGGATCTCTGTTGTAATTTGATAGATGCCTGTAAGTAGATCAGCACACAGTATAACAGTAACCAATGAATATCTACACAGTTACCTTTCCTTGAATCTGTTATACATTTCCTCACAGACTTGTTTGTTTTCCTCTTCATGGACAGAACATGTGGAATAAACAATCTTTTTCACGTTTGGGAATGAGAAGGCATGTCGTAAAATCTGGGCCTGGAGTTTATGGAGTTGGTCGAGGCGGTGCTGGGTGGTGGATGAGTCATCATTAGTCAAGTCATCTAGTCTATTTACAATGCCTGTAGTGAGATAAAACAAGATCTCATTTTTACCAAAAGCATATTTTTTTCCAGTTCAAAAAAATTTTTATAACATAATTGGATGAATTCGACATCCTAACATTAAGTAAAAATCATTTAAGGGGAAGAAGGACCTTTAGCTGAAAAAATTCTTGTCATTCAATTTTTTTTATATTTTGTATATTTCTTATTAAGTATGTCCCACATATCTTAAAGCAGTTATATCATTAGGTTTCTTACCTTATTTTAGAGATATTGATTGACAAATATTATGCCCTACAGTATCTAAGTGGAGTTTTAATTCTCCATGTTGCTGGGCTCATTACTCTGTCCATAATTAGAATTTTAAAGCATATATAAAAATATGTAAGTGAACATGTATCTTTTAAAATATTTCAGGGTATAAATTGGGTTTAAAATTCGAAAAGGCAAGTTTCATCTATCACACTGCATCTGGATGGGGAAAATTACGAACTTTTTAAGACAACTTAAACAACAGAAAACGTAATTTACAAAAAATCCTATCATTCAATATTTTTAAATTTACGTTAAAATGCAAGTCCTTCAAATTATTGATTAACTGTAAAAATTTCGAATGGTGAAGCTGACCTCAATATTGCACAGGACATCGTTGAAGACGACATAAGCAGGACAAAAACTTGTCATGTTTACATTTCTCTAGTACGGGAAAAACCAACTATGACGTCACACGTAAGCTAAATAAGCGAAATAAGATATACCTACATAAGATTTCCGTCATCAGCCATGCAAAAATAATTTTTGTGTTCCCCGTTTCTCAAAATACTTCATCGTATACTGATTATGACCTGTTTATACATAATAATACCACCCTTGTATTCACCGAGTATGATCTTGCTGTACCAGCAGATCGTGTATGACGTCACCGACTTGTTGGACGCGCAGTTTAAAGAAACAGAGGAGTGGATCAATCTTTTTTCATAATTTGATAATATTTACAAGAATGTTAAACTTTTTATTTTTTTTTAATATAAGATGGTAATTAAGAAAAAAAATTGTCAAAATTTTTTACAAGAACTGATGCTTTACACGTTTTGCACTTATATAAATGGAGACTATGACGTAGTTAACAAAGTCATGTGACCATGTGTCCTTCATCCCCTTAAGGAATGTATCTAATAGCTACCCAAGTTATACAGTATAACCTGGGTTTGGACAGTTTTGCGGTTTATAAAAAAGCGTTAACTGTTCCAACCCAGATCATACTGTATAACTTGGGTAGCTATTAAATTCATTCCTTATAATTTAATTGAATTTTCTACCATTATGTGTTGTTAACAAGACGATTTCCCCTCAAATAGGACATTAAAATTGCACAAAATT